TTAATGAACTACAGTACAATGCCATGTATTTTTATATTGTCAGCAGTTTCTTATTTAAAGACAGAGATTATTTTATTTCATGTTAGGGGAAGTGTTGTGCTTCAAAGGCACCTTTATGGCAAAACTCATCACATTCATCAGAGCTCTATTCAACTGCTGCACATCTTATGGTTATATCTCATGTTTTTAATTTCCTTTTTATTTATGCTTTTTTTATTTGAGAATTGATAATGTCCATGTTACTATTATGTTTTATTTTTGGCACATTATAACGACAAATTTTGATTTCAGTAGAGGAAAAAATGATCCAATTTGTTATTGTTATGTCTTTCCCTAGTCCTTGCAAAAGTCATGAAATTGTGTGCTATTATTAAAGTGTGATTAGAATTTATCTATTTCTGAATAATCTTGTTGTGCCGATGTGTGTGTGCCGTGATGATAGGTCCATGCACAAAGGACCTGTAAGATTTGCAAATATGAAAATGAAACATAATGATAATAAAAATGGAGAAGAATAAAACATATATTAATATAACAACGGCTATTGGTTGTGTTCTTTTTACTGGATGCAGGCAGGGATTGAGGTATTTATGATGGATTTGAATGATATGATGATGACGGTGACAAGGAGAGGAAGATGAGAATCCTGATTATGACGATGATATGTTTTTTATTACCTTTATTTAATCAGGGAAGCCTCATTGAGTGTTTCAAGATACACAGACACAAACAACATAACCCCAAATATGTCACAAACCCAGTTGTAGAAAGTACATTAACACACTGTGTACAACTTTGAGGTTCTTGTACATTAACTTTACGTTACCATTCTTCCACTGCACTACATTTACCTTATACTCCACTACTTATATTTAACAGCTACAGTTCCTACTTACTTTAAAGATTAATATTTTTCATATAAACATATCATCAACTTATAAAACATAATAAACAGTTGTAGATCAAACTGAAAAACGGTTGATTAAATAGTTAATTTCCACATTAAAATGCTACTTGAATATTAATGTAAAGTAATAATAATAACAATAGATGGGATACTTTAACTATAAAAGGACCCACTTTGCATTATGAGTACTATTTTGATACTTAAATTACATTTTGGCAATAATACTTCTGTACTGTTACATAACTAAGAGTTTGAATCCAAGATTTTTTGTATTTTACATTGTTGTGTTGCTACTTTTACCTGAGTAAAGGATCAAAATAGTTATTCCACCAATCCAGATATTAAACAATTAAGCGTGAAAAAAAATTCTAATGTATGATTAGAATTTTTTTGATTGAATTCTTTTAGCTCAGCAGCGCTTTGAGATAATGCAACCAATGACACAATGATAATGCGAACATGTGGATGTTTAGGTGTTCACCATCTTGGTTCAGTGTGTTAGCATGTTAACATTTGCTAATTAACAATAAGGACAAACTACAGCTGAAGCTGATGGGAATGCAATTAGTTTTGCAGGTATTCGGTCATAAAGTAATGGACAATCCTAAACTTTGACTTGATGACGGCGTTAAGATAAAAATGAAGGATCATCAAAGTGATTGCAATTCAAACCCTGAGGGGATCAACAATTTCTGAACCAAATGTCATGGTATTCAAAGAGTTGCCAATACATTTCATTCAAAACCACATTTTACCTTTACAATGGCACTAAAGGAAGATTTTAAGGGATCCCCAGTGAATTTAAAGCAATCCATCTCATAGTTGTTGAGATATCATATCTAAAACTTAAGTTGATGACACTAACAAATCGTCAAAACATCAGGGGAGCCAATACTGTTTATGCAACAATGAAATAAATTAACAGAGAGACCAAATTTCACAGTTTTACATATACAACATCTAAAATTGCTAGGTCTGCCCCCAGTGGATCCCTGCAGGAGGAAGACAACTCGAGGGGGCATTTCTTTGGTCTATAATCCGCAGTGAGCAATCAGCAACAAGGCCTCAGCGATCGTAAACATTTATAAGGAGAAGTTGTGCTCGATAATTCTGCTAGGCTGGCACCAATAGTGACGAAGGTGATGAAGTGATACTACATCGGTTGTGTAACCCGTTCAGACTTCTGCACAGTCACCGCTGAATCCCTGGGTGCTGCTGAGGGCTCCTCTGAATCCTCACCAGCACATGAACAGGTAACTGTGTTTTACTGATTCAGTTTGAGGCTTTCTGCTCGTATCCACTGAGAATCCCCTCTGCAGTCAAACAGAAATTACACATTAGTGCACATTAGAGTCATGCTGCTTTTTCTGCCATTACAATGCACATAAAGAAAGATTTTTCAGCTGCTTCGCACCACAGGGACCAGATACATGCCTGTTTCCAAGGTAACAGCATAGAATATCCCATTTGTCAAAGCGTAATATGAAATGAAGTCCTTGCAGAAAATGAAGGAGGATGATCCTTTGTAGAATCACACCACCACACGCCCTACTTCTCTATCTAGTGTGGTTTGCTATTCTTGGAGATTATTTTCTGTGCATTGAGCATGATGCAGCCAGTGATATGTCTGTCAAGCAAAATGTATCCACATGCTGTTCTGAATGGAATTGTAAAATGATGATGTAAGTAAAGACACAAGAGCATTTCTATTTCAAAATCAAATATTTCAATCAAGAGTCTTGGACACTGCAGATAGATTGGAGTAACGCAATTATCCAGGACAAAGTTTAGAAAATATTCAGATGTTAAAGCTGATATTTGGTAGAAAATCTTCTTCTTTCTTCCAAATATTTCTTTAACATATACTTTAGAGAGAGTCAAAACCAAAGATCCTGCACTAATGTTGTCTTCATGAAGGGCGTTCTCATTATTTCACAATACTTTATTGATATATTTAGCCAAAAACAAGGGCAAAAAAGAGCTTTTCACATAGAGAAAATGCATATACAGAAGAGAAACAGTGATGCGTTCATAGCTTATGGGAAAAATGGAACTTTTACAATAGAACAACAAAAGGCCTTCAAGTTGGAATACAAGCTAAAACCATATTTCCATACATTCAAATAGAAAACTCGGAAATAGAACTGAACACCCCTTTAAAATCTTGTTTTTGCTGACCTCCAGTGGTTTAACTTTTCACCTTGCTACAGTGTGTACTCTAGGACCTTGTGACATCACTGTTAGATGTGGTTACAGGTGCAATACTTCTGTCCACACCCAACTATGATACAAACTTGAAACTCTGCTTTTCAACCTGGTGTTAAATTCATCTTTAATTTCTTATCTCAAAATGATACGTAACATTAATTAATTATTTGTCATTATGCACACATCACTGTGAAATGTGAAGTAGAAGAAAGTATGAAGAGAGTAAGTGGAAAGTCTGAGTTACAAACTCCAGATTTTGAGTTTGAAAGATGTGGGTCCATATCAAGGACTAAAACTCTGGATATCTCAAACTCTGCTGCACTTCATTTTAACTTGTTTTAATCTATCTCACAGGTCCAACAACTTTATGGAAATGTCATACAACATTGCTGAAATGCCTCTTTAATGACAAAGCTAATACAATACTGGGTCATATAAAACGTCTATATGTAGGTACCTCAAAGCATGATGCTGTGACTTTGTTTTAGGATCTTACTGCCCCCTAGATGTTAAAGAGACGCTTTTGGCATCTGTATTGAAAGCTGCTGTTATCATATATCAGTGCACATCTGGGGTCCTCAAGCTAAAGTAGGACACTGACACACACAGTTGTGATAATCTTGCATGGTTTGAACCAACAAAGCTTATTGACTGTATCTATTATTATCACTTAGTCATTGTCCATCAGTGGTGGAGGAAGTATGTCAACGCTTCTAATGGCTAATCCAAAGTCTCTGGATCATTTATGAGTCAATTCCAACCATCTTTCCTCATCCTTCCTCCAGCATCAAACAGCCTATCCTCAGCCTTCACGTTAAAATGTGGTATTTGTCTCTTCCTGGTGGATGGATTGTGGTACTGCAACCATCCTGAAAGCATTGGCATTCAATACAGTTTGGGCTGGTCAAATAAACCAGTGGTTTACAGTTTTGAATGGGAACATGTTGAATGGGAACATGTATAGGGGTCTGATTGATTGCCTTTTCAAAATAGACAACATATTTAGATGGAACTGATACCTATAGTTACATGTACATTAAATTAAATTAGTTTTACAGTTACTGAGAGATGTCTTTTGAGGATTCCACCTTAACAGGCCTCCACTAAAACCTCTCCAACTTTGCTCAACAAGCAACAATGACCGACGGGCTTCTAGAATACCATATATATACCATATATATATATATAGTATATATAAGCGGGCATTTGGTCAAATTAGGCGAAAATTATTCATATAATCAGAGTAATAAGCAGAATAATAGTCGAAAAAATAACGACTACTAATAATAATAACAGCAGCAGTGGAGACAGCAAAACAATAATGACAACAAAAGCAGCATTGGTATCTGTAATATAAATGTGACTAATGATAACAATAATGATATAAGCAGTGGGTGTCAGGCATGACCACAGTTCAGATACAACCACGATCCATGGAAACCTGTGGGGAGAGAAAGCACAAAGACTCCGGGGAAGAAGCAAAGTTATTAATGTGCATTAATGGGACATGAATTCATACAGAAGGAGATGGAATGACACTGTAAAGAATAGTTTGTTATTCTTCACAGACCATGCACATTAATGTTCTAGTAAAAACTAACCAATAACAAGGGGAATAAATGAGATTCTTTAGGAATATCCCGGAAGAAAAAAAACATTTTAGGGGTCAAAACAACACCCCTTTCCCTCAAGCCTATTTTAACCTTAATTAAAAGTTCCACATGAAATGACTTAAAGCTCTGACGTGATGACGCAACGAGGCTCCACTAGGATCATGGTCAGCGAGGCCTTGGACTTGGAAGCAGCCGCCCACTGTCGCTGGGAGCAGATGGTCTCCCTCTTAGTAAGGTGTCAGCTGTTCACATGACCGCAGGTCGAACGCGGAGGCTCACCCACAGCTCACAGAGGGACCAGCACAGACTCCTGACAGCTCGCTCCATGTTGGGTTTACATGAATTGACAAACTACCACTGAACTCTCTGCTGAAGCTCACATTTACTCTGTGAAGATATGCCTCAATCCAGGTAGGCCACTGAAGTATTGTTTCTTCATTTCATGCTTTTATGTTAGAGAGATTGGTCAGCTTTCATTTTTTTCCCACATAATTTGTTAAACATTATTTGGTCTTGTTGTAAATATAACACTTTTAATAAAGTAGAATATAACAAAAACCTGTCAAAGCAATAAAAAAGGAATTATTTCAATAGTTTTTCATCCTCCAGAGAGAAGTCAATAGTTTTACCAGGAACCTGTTAGAAAGTGCAAGTGTTTTGTCGTGTCACACTGTAATGGTAATTTTTTACCAGTATATATTTCTACTTAGGTAGTATATATTTATACTCAGTATATTGTATTCATGCATAAGTAATTTTGCTCTGAACTTTGTTGAACTTCACCGAGTTCTCCCTTGCCTGTTCACATAGATAACTAACTGTGTTGTATGAGAATGTTCTATGCCAAGGCCTTTGGGCCGCTTGTTTTGGTTGCTGGCCTTTTGTTTTTGAATGTTGTTCCTATCAGTCTGAGGCCAAAAGTCTGAGACCGAAATATCTGTAACATTGGCCATCGGCCCCCACCTTTGCTCATTCTGTATAAAGAAAGCTTGTTCACTTTTTTCTGGGTTCTTCCTCACTGAGGCTGCACGCATTCTGTTGTGATGATTGAACCTTCTCTGCGCAGAGAATAAATACTGGAAAAGACAACCTGGTTTTTGTTATTATGTATTTCAGCATTAAAAGACTCACGCAAAGCGGGTATAGGAATATTTTCCACAACAACACTCACCTTTACGAGAGGACCCAGAGTTGAAATAAACAAACAGGAGGATTACTCACCTGCTAAAGCTCCTCTAATTCCATTTGCTTGCCGGGAGATCTGCCGGAACAGCTGATAAGGTCCTTACAGTATTAAACACTGTAGATAGACAGCCGCTAACATAAGAGCAGTCTGTACACATGATTTACAACATTACACAGTGAGTTGTTAGTCTCCTTCAGTTCAAAAATGAATTATAATTGATGCAAAGCGGTTACCAGTGGTGTAAAGTAACTAAGTGCATTTACTTAAGTATTTGTGCTTCACCATTTTGAAGTACTTAACGTATTTCCATTTTCTGCTACTTTATACTTCTATTCCACTACAATTGGGAGGCAAATATTGTACTTTTTACTCCACTTATTTCATAACTTTGGTGTCCAGTTAACTTTGCACATGCAGATAAAAGTTGCTGGTAGATATGAATACTTCTTCCAAGAATTATTTTCTTTATTGGGTGTTAGAACATGTTGCGTTATAGTTGAGCTATTTTGTTTTAGTTATTTTGTTCAGTAAACAAGTACCTAACCACATGCTTCGAACAATAAACCTGTATGACGATGGCATCAAGTCACAAGGTCATTTCCTCATCTGCATCCCGTTCTTTTCAAAAGAACCAGGACAGATTGGCCTTAAACTCAGAGGGGATCCCCGGTTTCCTTCTCTGGTTCCTGAACAGGAAATTGGTACATGAGAAAGAGCAATGTCCTCTCACATTTAATAACTCAAATTGAATAACAGCAATATTGTGAAGGATTACTCCCCCAGGATGTTCATAAGACTTGAAGATTAATAACTCTCAAGTTAGCAACCTGGAAAATAAACGGAAAAGAGCTGACTCAATGTTGCCATGGAAGCTTGAAAAACACTCTCCTCTCTTTGCAGGTGCACAACAGGAAGCAGTTCAGCACAAGTTCTTCATTCAGGAGCTTCCTCTTTCCCTGAATGCCACATGCAGGATGTTCTGGTTTCCCTCCTTCAATGAACAAAGAACAACCTGCACAAAGCAGTAGAAGTAATAATCCTTCAAGATGGCTGTCACTTCACTCAATATTAATCAGGACCCAGGAGCTGGCCTGGTTGAGGTGAACATATGTATGCTTGAGATTAATATCAAGTATGAAATCATCTCATCTGTTGTCTGCTCTGTTTGCCTTTCATTCGGCCTCATCTTCACCTTTTTCGGTATGTATTCATGAACTGATGTTAGATGTGAATGTGCACAAAGTATAGCAGAAAGCATTGGCCACTTAAAATCCGTGTTCGTACTCTAAATGCTTTATTAGCTCACCCGGTGGCTTAAACCTGCAGGTGTCTGAAAGCTGCCAGGGTTTTAAGGTGGATAAGCACAAAGCTGGAGGAGACAGATGGGTCGTCCTCTGTCTGAATTTGTCAGGCAGCACTGTTAAAGTGCCACCTGTTGCACTGTTCGACATCTCACTGGTTTCACAGTGCTGGTTCTGATGTTGTACTATTTTTTTGTTCCAGAAAAGGGCAGTTTGTAACTCTGAACGTTAATAACGCTGTGAATGAGATTTAACCCCCACTACTACCAAAAAAAAACAATATGAAGAAAGGAGTTCAACATAGCTTTCTCTGTTTTCACTGAGAAAATAAGTGAACACAAATCCAACAAACACAAACTGATTAGGAGAAGGGTGTCCTATGGACCTAAAACATGTGATACTTATGTAAACACACATGCTGCCAAAGTCTGTGTTCCCAGTTACTATCACAGTGTTGCCTGTAAGGACTTTTATGACTGTAAATAATTAATCATTTGGAGAAAAAGGCTCAGTGTAGGCGAAGGCAGGAGCCTGATGTCAGAGCTCTGAGAACTGATGTTCTTCCCGTTAAAAATATGAATGATAGATGACAGAGCTGGACATGAATACTGGAACAAATTCACTGTTCCTCAATGTTGGAGCATTTCCATGTAGACCAGCGGGGACATTCACAATCAATACAACCAACACTACAAGTTGTAAGCAAAAGCATTATCCAAACTAAAAGCAGGCTGTACTTTTGTCTCTCAGCTTCTGTTTTAAAATTTCTTTGGCTCAATTGTCACAAGAGAGTTACAACCAGCAAGATGCAAAATGCTATATTACAACATACATAAACATCCCGACACTGTTATGTTTATCACAGGATTTTTAATCATTGTGGTTAAAATGAAACACTCATTATCAAATAATTATGTTAAAACGTAACGGCTTCTCATAAAATTTGTGTTTGCATGTTAATTCCCTCAAAGAATATGCAATTAGCTTTAACAGAAAAATATTTGATGTGTGCATAAGTCAGTGTGTTAAATGATCTAGAGTCATTTATTTCATTGAATATGGTAAATATAGATTATAGTCTAAAGGCTGACATTCACACAATACATAATGATTATTATTGATGACACCCAACCTTAGGTATTTCAATCACTTATAGATTAATTAAAATACAGTAAACTACAGTAATATTGCATTACATTGATTCAGTGTTCAGTACGCTTATAGTAAGCATTGAAACTTGTGCTGATATGAAGTGGCTTTATTTTGAGGGCTGTTGATAGTGTTTTCTACTATGAAGTGAAGTGAATATTTTCTGTTAAACAGCAAGAATTAAAGGTCCAGTGTGACGAAATAAAAAAACAGCGTGAAAATGAAGATGAACTGAAACGATTGCGAGAGTTCAGTTTATGGAAATGAGCCGGTTAGTTGTCAGAGCTGGCTGATGCTACGCTATGATTGGCCCGACTGCGTTGGAGAACAAGTCAGTTTGCCACTGTTTGGTAGAGCACTTGTTTTTAAAGTCAACCTTGTTTTTATTCCACTTTTCAGGATACCGCTGCTTCAAGATGGTCATGTTCTTCTCTGGCTTCATGTTTGGCGCGACAACCATTCCCTTGTTGTACCACAAGGAGCCCGTGTTGGGCGCCCATTTGGGGCCAGAGACGAAGGCAGGGATCGGCCTGGGCGTGGGTGTGCTCTGTGGGCTGATGACCATGCTGGTGTCCACAATGGGACTCCTCCTCAGCGGGCTGCAGCTGGGGAGCCTGCTCTCCCTCGCCATCCTGGTGGTCATCGGACAGTTTCACAGCCTTACTCCAGCGTGGGTGCCTCTCACTGTTGTGCTGGCTGCCAGCATCTCCGCTGCTCTCTTCACTCTGAAGTGGCAGAAACTGTTCACCATCATCTACACATCTGTGTTCGGTGCCTCCGCCGTGATGCTGTGTGTGGATTACCTGGTGGGGACGTTTACGCTGCCAGATCAGGTGTATGATGTGTTTTGCCAAGTTGCCCCAAGTCCACTCTGCTGGTTTAACTGGGCGATTGCTGGGATCTGGCCTGTTATGGGTCTGATGGGTGTGTTGGTGCAGTGGGGTTTTACTGCCAAAGGAGTATCACACACAGATGGTGAGTTTAATTCAATCTGCAATTAATGTTGCATTCAAAGCTGTTTTTATGTTGAATATGAGCTCAAAACCTCCTCCTGTGATGTTAAATATTCCTTTCCTTTACTCCCATTTGGATGCTTTCCAGCTGCATACAAAAAACACAAGAAACATGTGAAGAAGCACAGATATAAAGAGTTAAGGAGAAGACCTCAACCACATCGTCGGCGCAGGCCTCCACCGCTGAAACGCTACGCTGGGGACGTCCTGGCGCCAGTAAGTGACTGAGATTCAAATTAATCATTCATCAATGGGCCTCATGCAAGGATCACACGCGCAAACAGATTTGTTGTAAAGTGGCTTGTACGAGTGATTTAGGAAAACTTGCTGCACTCACCAATTTTCTCCTATTTTGGATTGTCTCTTGGGTACGAACACAATTTAGTGGTCAAGACCTGTGGTAGGAGTCATGTACAATTAGTCTGCTGTTATTCAAGCATACATTTTTCACCAATGGATTGTATATTTCAGTACTTTGAAGCAATTTTGAGTTTGAAAAACTCGTTATTTTCCCCCATTTCTCAGCTTTGGCAGGTACCTTAAATCTGCTTCTGACACTGTTAAAAATTATGTATTTTCCTTCATGGATCTCTGAAAGCAGGACTTAAATTTGAGACATATGTGGCCAGATACATAGCCTTATATGGTATTATTGGAGCGTTAATTATGCTGCTTTACAATTCTCATGAACACATATACTTATTTACGCACAGGTGGCATTCATCATGTTTATACGGGTCAGTTATCTGATGTTAGGAGCGTTTGCTAAATCTAAAGTGGCACACTCGTACAAGCCCAAAAAAAAGTAAGAGAAAGATAAGAATACGAAAATGTTCTTGCATGAGGTAAAATGTTCTCAGTTTCTTCTGATTGCATGAGGAAAAAGGTCAGTACAATATCAACATGTCATTTTCCTGTCTGGCTTTCAGAGTTATCTCCAGAGCCTTCAGGAGCGCCAGGTGGAAACAGGCTCCTCCAGCAGCAGCGTCAGCGCCGTCAGACATACTCTAATTGACTTTGACTTTGAGACGGGCTCAATGGTGCCTTTGACTGCTGCCTCGCCTGCCTATACAGTCTGAAGAAACACAGCATCGGATGTTTGTGACCTATCTGATGAATCCATTACGTGTTACGCCGATAGATCAAAGATTTCTTTGAAATCTGCACTTAATACAAAAACAATTCAACCTGTTTTCGACTACCAGTGTTAATCCACTTTAACCGGCTTCTTCAGATAATCCTCGAGATGCGCACGGTGAGATTTCAGATCCTCGGAGATCATCCCCAGAATGATGACAACACAACATGCACAGTCATCAGACTCGTCATCATCGCTTCCTTTAAATAGTTTTATCTCACCGAAACTTTGTGTTTTACAGTTGAGCTGTTTTCTTTCACATGATGGAATAATACTTTTTAATTCTCCAAATACTATGTACCATGTCTCTAGATACGGTTGTGTTGTAAATTGAAGTTAAAGTATTACAGTTATAAACAACTAATTCATGTATGCAATTAAATTTAGTAGATACATCCGAAAAGTGGGGAATGTTCGGACAAACAACCAATAAACTAGTGATTTGACAGGAATGGGACAGGTTGATTGTTTGCTGCTTTGGTGTATTGTCTTAAATAAATGTCTGTTAAAGCGAAAAATATGTAAGAAACAAAACAACAACAACAAAACATCCACTGTGGCCAAAATTGGCAATTAGCCTATGGGATAATGGTTAATGCCAAATCACAAAAAACATTGTGCAAAAGTAGAGAAGAGTCCATAATGTCAGTTACTCAACAATACCGTTTGCTAACATAAGCTAACATTAGCTGCATAAGCAACTGCTCTTACTACTGGTGATGAAAAATGAAGCCAACGTGTAAGTAATCCAATTGGCTCTTTATTGAGGGAACCAGTGTAACTTCTAGGGTTGGCCTACAAAAACACGTCATCCCCGCAGCAGTCTATAGACCCCCATGTCAAAAAGCCAAACTTCACAGCAGAAATAAACCTGCTACAAAAAGTGGTTTTGGTCTCTTTAACTAACATCCCATCATGACAACTGTACAGAGGGGTGAATTTCTATATAACTCACCCATTTAAATGATATCAAGGCCTAAAGTTAGGCATAATTGAGGGCGTGGCTGCTTTGAGTGACAGGTGGGTGCCGTCTCGGGCCGCTAGCTGTCTCCTCTGCTGCATCACCCGCGCCCGCCTCAGACTCCAACGACGATCCATCTGTGTCCCATTTTTGGATTAGCCAGAGTTAGGCTGTGTTGTCAGTGCCAAGATGGCGACAGCCGGAACCGCCCACTTTGAGCTTCACAACTCTTCAGAAACATATGGCTGACGTCACAGCACAGAGTATCCATACATCATACAGTCTATGGTCACCAAGTACAGCTACGGCAGGAAATCCATGGTGCGTGTTAATTATTTGTGAATTACATTTTGAATTAGGACAGAGAAGGTGTTATTTCATCTTTTAATAATTCTCACTTTTAAGCTACAAACATTATTTAAAGGCCTTGCACAGTCACACAGCTGTTTTCACTTACTTTGGCGTTGGATAGAAGTGAAACAAGTATTTATTTTTATTTGATTATTTTATTGAAAAGAACTGTGAATTTGCCGAAATGGCTAATTTCCGTCTGTTTTCCCTGGCCAGATGTCAAAAATGCATCCTAAAATCTTTCTTATTTCTTAAACAATTAATAAAAACAACATAATAAATATGCAAAAAAATTGTACAGCACATCCAGCAATATTATTACCGTAACACCTGGCAATTATCTACAATTCATACTCAAATAAATGTAAGAATGTTAAATATGTAAAACAAGACAAAGATTTACATTTTTTTCCCCACTATAAGTCAAAATGTCTGCTGAGAAAAAAAGGCCTACAGATAGAATACTATGTAGTACTAGTTTCAGGATTATTTCAGGAATATTACATATACAGATGCCTAATTAGTGGATAACAATGTCCAATCACAAGTCTCAGCTTATTCCACTGCATGTATGTTAATAGCTTCTTCTAAAATAGTAATATCAACAAAAAAAGAAACAGCAGAACATGCAAATATATATTCTGTTGTTGATTTCATGCAGACTCTGTCACTAAAGCTCCTCACACAAGGGGCCCAAATAAATAATCATCTTTCTCTGTTTTTATACTGAATCATTGTGCAGGTAAACGTTTGTGCTGGATCCCTGGTGGCCTCTGGTGGCTCAGTTGTCACAGTGCATCCAGTGTGAGTCGGCGCTCAGAGGGTAGGCCTTCTCCACTGCTCTGTGGTGCTGGTTTACACGATAGTACTGGGTGCCTTTAAACAAGTATATATGTCCGTTTGTCCACGTGAATGCTGCATTAGTGTTGGTGGGTGCCCCGTGGAAGAGTTGTCCAATAGGTTTGGGATATGAACTGAAGTCTGTCGGGCCAATTTCATTCCACTGCCAGTATCCAGAGCCCTGAAAAAAACAAAGCAATTATTCAACGGGAAATGAAAGAGACATTCAACAAAAAGTCTCAAAATAGATTGAAGGAAATGTTGTGTTTTGTACTTACTTTGAGAAAGATTAGTTTTTTGCTCTTATTGAAGTAAAAAGCTGAGTCAATATTAGCAGGGATGTTGGCCAAGCGTCTGGGGAAGCCGCGGTCAAGTTTGAAACCTGAGTATCTCCATACTTTGTCCTCTGTGAGAGAACATGTGGAGACAAGAAAGCTATTCTTTCAACACTGTAATTTTCAAATGTTACACTCTGGTGAGCCTCTTTTTTTTTTCCATCCATCCATCCATTTTCCACCGCTTATCCGGGGTCGGGTCGCGGTGGCAGCAGGTCAAGCAGGCCGACCCAGACCTCCCTCTCACCGGCAACATGTTCCAGCTCATTCTGGGGGATCCCGAGGCGTTCCCAGGCCAGCTGGGAGATGTAATCCCTCCAGCGTGTTCTGGGTCTTCCCCGGGGTCTCTTCCCAGTTGGACGTGCCTGGAAAACCTCCAGTGGGAGGCGTCCAGGAGGCATCCTAATTAGATGCCCGAACCACCTCAGCTGACTCCTTTCGACGCGAAGGAGTAGCGGCTCTACTCCAAGCTCCCTCCTGATGACCGAGCTCCTTACCCTATCTCTAAGGCTGAGCCCGGCCACCCTACGGAGGAAGCTCATTTCGGCCGCTTGTAGCCGCGACCTTGTCCTTTCGGTCACGACCCAGAGTTCGTGACCATAGGTGAGGGTAGGAACGTAGGCCGAGTGGTAAATTGAGAGCTTTGCCTTCCGGCTCAGCTCCCTCTTCACCAAGACGGTCCGGTGCAGCGCCTGCTTTACTGCTGCAGCCGCACCGATCCGCCTGTCGATCTCCCGCTCCATCTTACCCTCACTCGTGAACAAGACCCCGAGATACTTGAACTCCTTCGCTTGAGGTAGGCACTCCGTCCCCACCTGGAGGGAGCAATCCACCGGTTTCCGGCAGAGAACCATAGCCTCAGATTTGGAGGTGCTAACTCTCATCCCCGCCGCTTCACACTCGGCTGCAAACCGCCCCAGTGAATGCTGGAGGTCACGATCCGAGGAGGCTAACAGGACCACATCATCTGCAAACAGCAGAGAAGCGATCCCGAGACCCCCGAGACTGACGTTCTCCGCCCCGAGGCTGCGCCTAGATATCCTGTCCATGAAAATCACAAACAGGACCGGTGACAAAGGGAAGCCCTGGCGGAGGCCAACACCCACCGGGAACGTGTCTGACTTATTGCCGAGAATGCGGACACAGCTCCTACTCTTTTTTTTTTTTAACTATGAAATAAATCCACCTTTCAGAAGATAGGACTTGCCGGTCCGCTGAGACTGAACAGCTGCATTTAGGCTCCCTGGCAGCTCCTTCCACAGCGCAGAGATCAGGACGGGAGTGTTGTAGCCAGAGCTGGACACCGTCCACACGTACCGACCACTGAAGACATACGTCTTTTGTAGAGGACCTGCAGGGACAAAACAGCTGTAAGTAGATTTAAACACATATCTGTTCTTAAACAAAGTACAGAGACATGTTTAATGTTGTTTTTACTAAATTTGAGTGCAGTGTGACAGCATCAAAGTCTATGTACCCAACATTACTGCATCCACAGCGGCCTTGCAAGGATCCGGAATAACACCTGGCACCAACGGACTTGGCTTTCTGGACGAAGGGGTTTTCTCTGGCTTTCCTGAAAAGGAACAACACTGCACATTACATGTACTTTAAAGATCACACTCACTCTGACGCTGTGACTCTATTACCGTATAAAGCCTGGATCCCTCGAATGTCATCCGCATGTAGCTTGAAGTCTGAGCTGTATCCGTTGTAAACAGGTCCCATCAGTGCGCTGTAGTGTTGTGAGTGGCCCAGGCCAAGAGCGTGGCCAATCTCGTGGGCTGCAACGATCCTCAGGTTGGAACCGGAGGTCTTCCCCTCTGTCCACACTTCATCCTCGTCAAAATGCACAATGCCTGACTCAGGGGCATCAGCGTGGGCTAAAACATGACCTAAAGATAAAGTAAGAATTCTTCAAACTATTGTCACCTTACAGGGAAAGTTCATCGATTTAACGAGCGTGAAAGCACTGAGATCCCAAAACGTTTCTTTGAGAGATCCAGTGCTCCTACCTCGTCCGTCAAAGGGAACTGGACACGTCCTGTCTCTTCTGTGAAAGGAGATTTTGATGTCTGCTCTTCCTCGCTGCAGCTCCTTGAACCTTAAAGGTGACACGTCGCTCCAGTACTTAAATGCACTTTTGATGGACAAACGGGTCTTTCCCTGACCCAAGTCAGGGGTGTAACTATAGATGCGGTAGGTCAGCATCTTCTTCCGCCAGTAACCTGTCAATCAGGAAACATTTAGGTCTCTTTTTACACACATTTATAAAGCACTGTGTAGTAACAATCAGAATCTGAATGTGTAACATGAATGCAGTTACCCACCCATGACTCGATACTGAAGAGATTTGTCATTGAAAGAGTCTTCCAGTCCACACCGAGGTTTTTTCATCATCGCCAGAGTGGCTAAATCTAGTTTTCCTGATATTTGCAGGTTTGTCACTTTCTGAAAGATTCTGACATTCAAGGAAAATAAATAATGAACAAATCTGGGATTAGGTAAAAAACAACAACAACAACAACAACAACAACAACAACAACAACAACAACAACAGAGGGAAACATGTTGAGCCACTTTCATAAATTGTTAAAATGGAAGAAATATGGTCACCTCAGAGCTTCCACTATCTTATCAGGTGGATGGTTTTGGCCTTTACTGTCCAGTGGGGTGTGCAGATAGCCATACTTCCTTAAATACACCTGAAGACAGATAATAATTGTAATAGTGGCGGGATATGTATATATTTAGCGCTTGAAGCGTCAAAAATACATTTTTTAAAACTCAACGGCAAAATCTCTTACCAGAAATCATGAGCTGGTTACTCAAGATAATTCACAGACCTGAATGTGAGCAGTGTAGTGTTATAGGAACTAAAATAGTTACCGGATCGGCTTTGGTGCTTTTTATTCAAGAGAAGGCATCTCTATGGCCGATGTTTCCAAAACAATCTAGATTGATAAATATGACTACAGGTAAGAGGAAAAATATTTATTTTTGGTTGAACTGTAAAAGTAAAAAAAAAAAGTAAAAGTACCAGTAAGTATTAGCAGCATGTAAAAACTGAATCTTGTCATATTATTATATTAGTTATTATAGTGTTATTGTTGTATTATTTAGTATTACCAGCAGGATGGTGTATACATTAGTATTATGTCATGTGTTTTACATGTAAGCAGTACATTAATGGTGTAACTGGTGGAGCTTATTGTAACTACTTTATAATGCTGGTTAAATCTACAGCAATACAACTTATTTGTTTGTATATATATGTTTATATACTACCAATACCACAAAAATATACTCCAAGTGCAGCATTACAAATTTTACTTTTAAAGGGGCAGTTCTCCCCAAAATAATTGAGTTGAATAAATATAAAGTAACGTCACAAGGATTTGAATGTTTTACAACTGAAAACATTTCGTAATCTTTTTGTAAAAAAAATAAAATACAGCAGAATAGGCAGTTTAATTTAGATTGCACAATATAATTTAACTATAATATTCTATTATCACTGTCAGTATTATAGGCATCTTTAAACTGCAAAATCATGGAAATATGTACTGCTTCCAAGAAATACTAGGCAATTGATTTTTATTTTTTGTAGAATAAACTTTTCAGCATTTCAACTGTTCTGCGTCTCCTTACCACCGCTTCTGTAAATTCTCCTCTGCTGAGGGCGACGGATGAAGCTGTCGTCAGCAGAACCAGGAGCACCATTAACTCCAGCCTATATTCCATTTTCCAGTTTGGGTCTTTTTTCATCCCTCTCGGTCAAATAAAACCTTTTTCAACAGATACACAAGTTGTGGGTCTGTCTAAGCATCGTAGAAGACTGCAGCTTCTGGATCTACGCCCATCCTCTGAGGATCAGTCCTCCCTGTGTCAGAGCTGAAGCTGGTGTTTCATTTCGGGATTCAGTTTTTATACTGCCAATTGTCTGTTTGGGAACTGCCTCAAAGCCACATAACCTTTAAAAAGGAATGTGATGTCTGGAACACAGAAACCAATACATATTTCAGACATGATCACGCCTTCTTACACCGTCATTTAGAGGCATTTGTGTTTGAAAATAACTTCAGAGTAATTTTGTTTACGTCAAAGGAAGCAAATATACGTAAGTATTAACTCTAAAAAGGGGATTATCTACCCACTATCTATGGAAGGTAATTACTTACAACCACTTATGTCACGGTGGTGAAAGAAAATCCCACTTTCTTGGTAACTATTTAATTAAGTTGAAATACTTGAACGGTAAATTATTTTCCAGACGACAGAGTGTGACGGATGTACCAGAAATACAGCTTTATGTCTGTGAAACATGTCCAATATTCCACATAAATCTTGACATTTTTCACTTCATGGTTGCAGCTCTATGAGGAAAACAACTCACCACACTTCCTCCATGAGACAACAGCTAATTATATTGTTCACTATGTAGAAAACCCCTTCAAGGGAAAACAATGACGCCCCCATGTAACCATCGCTACAATTCGTCCTCTGCATGGAGACAGAGAACGCCTCCTTCAACACTGAGACATGCAGCTCATAAATAGTGAGTGGACAGATGGGAAAGAGACTCAGACATGTGTGAAAAAATAACAGTTTCTTCATTTAACCACAGATTAAGTTTTAAAGCTAAAAACACTGGACAGTCCCTGATTTCTCATCAATAGAGGGCATCTCTTAGTTTAAAACTAAAAGGGTCCAGGCTCATCCTTCTGCCGTTTGCCAACTTAAACTCAACAATTGATTGTTATTGATTGATTCAGCAGAACAAAACTGTAAGGTTCGAACTGCATACTTATAGGCAGGTTTTCTCGTTTGTAATGTGTTCACACTGGAAAAGTGACAAACATGCTTGATTATTACTTTCAATGGCAGGTATTCTCCCACAACGCAATGCACCAACAAAAGGGAGGTGGGTCAAATTATTTTAAAAAGACAAAGATTTAAAACCCAAAAATTCATATTTCAAAAAACATTTTTGCTTTATATGTGAAGTTGAATAGCCAGCTCTAAAGAAGCAGTCCACTGCTGCACGTATTGTATGTTGATTTCTTGTAAATCAACTGCAGAACGTGGTGTACTTTAATGAAAAGTATAGTATATACTGTATACAAATAGCTTGTAGTATGAAATCAGGATGTAAAATTAGTTTATGGACTCCAGTTTTCACAGTTCATAGAAAGTGCTATTTTAGAAACTGTTGAATATCACAAACAAACCCTATGATGTCTTCATATTGTCTATTTGTTCTTACTGAAAGTGTACATACCTAATAACGGGTCACATTGGTCACATCACTGCTAAAACAGCTGGGCACTGTAGCTTTAAGAGTTAGTGTATTTATTGGAGACCATCTTCAGACGCGGATTAATACACATTTGATGTTCTAGTTAAAGTATTTACGGAAGTAGGACGGTGTATGTGGGATCAACTCAAAGTAACTACAGTGTCCATGTTCATCACAATAAAGGAACATGTCATCAAGTGCAACAGTGTGGCTCATCGATGTACTTTATTGCATTTTTATTCATTTTTTAGTTATAACAATGGAGCTCTATGGCACAGAGGAATAACCTCGACCAGGCTTTGGCTACAGAGACAATACTGGTTGGTAGGATCAATGAAGTAATAACTCATTATTGGATTTGTTGACAACAGGAAAAATATACAATATCCCCAACATTATCCCAAGTGTAGAACTTGTTTCCAAAAGATCCAAAATATAGATTTGTTTTACATCCTGCCTTCTAAAATAAAGTTGCTGTTCACTCCACCGCTAAAAACAATATGAGATAAACATGTTACGCAGCATGTAGCTTTAATGTAATGACTGTGTAGACAGTGGCGCAACATTAGTGCAACTACAAGAGGCCGTCCAATCATTGACAAAAATAAATGTCAACAAACTATATTCTCTTTAACAGAAAATAGTGTATGTGTAAGTAATACCTGATGCTACGAAAAGGTACAAAATGGAAAAAGGACAGACACGCACAAAAGCAATTTACAATGAACTCTTTAAAAGATATTCATAGATGAGTGGCCTGGCAAATACAAGTGTATGAGTAGGAGTCACATTGTTTCCTGGAGATGTGAAACTAGAAAACCGGCTTGTCAGTTCTGGAGATGTGATGCCTGCTACGAGGACTTCCTGTCCTGCCCTGTGTTCATGATGAATATCAAATAGGTAGAATAATGTTTAAATGGAAGCCATGATCACAAAGCTGCAAAAGGTCCCTTCCCCGTCTCTCGGTATGTAATTTGTACGCTTAGTCTGTCCGACTCTTCTCTGCTTTTCTTTTATTGCTTCAAGAATCACGCTCGAGCTGCCGTAACTCATCCTGTAAAGCCGGAACCCGAAGCAGTTTTTCCAACTGATCCTTTGTTGGCTCTGTTATTTCCCCTGAGTCCACTTTATGCTTCAATTCCTCAACTTGCCGCAGCTTCTTTTTCAGGTTTTTGATCTTCTTGGCCTTTTCGTCTGCTTCTGCCGATGAATCATCGGGAGTCGAGACAGAAACTGGCACCGCCGTCTTGTTGGAACACTCGCCACTCTCTGAAATAGACGCATTCTCGACGGCGTCGCTCACCAAGTCCACGTCCGCGTCCCCGTCCCCGTGCTGTTTTCGCTTTTCTTTGCGTTTCATGTTGCGCTTGGCGGACTTTGAGAGACCGGCCGCCTCAGCGTCCCCGCAACCGGGAATCTTTTGCTTCTGCGTAGCCGCCTCGGACGGATTCATCCCAGGTGGCAGGTCTGGTTTTCCCTTGAAAAACTTCACAAACTTGTTTTCATAGCTGAAACGGCAAGAAACACATGCTTAAAAAAACGGTGAACGGATAAAAATGTCTTCACACTTTGCCATTTCTAATGAATATCGGCCCATTCGACATCTATTAGGGCCAGTGGTGGAAGTAGCCAAATTAGTTAACACTACTACTCGAGTAAAAGTAACGTTACTTTGCACAAACAAGCACTCAAGCAAGAGTAAAAAGTATGCTGCATTAAAAACTACTCTGACAAGTACAATTTACTCACAAAAAGTTACTCAAGTACATGTAACGGAGTAAACATAACTCGTTACGACCCACCTCTGATCAGAGCATTCCTGTTTGTTGCACCCCCTTTCACAATAAGATTATGATCTTTATGTACGACTGTAGGGAAAGAAGAGCTGCACTTACACTGGTACTTCTTCCTGAGGAGTATAACCATCCTTGACCCGCCTCGGCTTCCTCCATGTTCCATCTGGTCGCTGAGTGGAAGCAATGAATTTCCCTGAAGAGCAACAGGTACAACATTTTAAAACAGTGTTTGATTAATATGCACAGTCCCTGTCAAATAAATAAAATAACTGGACAGCTGTGCAGCTCCAAGAACCCAATCCAGCTGATTAACTTGCCACATTAATATAATGCATTGCACACACATCATTGTTTTACAGTCTCACACTCTGAATCCTTAGTTATCAAAAGCCTTAAAAAAAAAGCACATTTTAGGCACAGGAACAAAGCATTGTGTATTACAGCTGGAAACATTTTTTTTGCATTTTAGTACAATGTATGCATCAATGTGATGAAGTACCTATGTCTGTCAGGCATTTAGTTTCAAGGGTTGATGTTGGGTTGTTATTATTAGCAGCAACCTCCATTCCTGCAGACACATTATGTTCATCATTCCTAGAACTCCCACAGTTTTTGGTGAAAGTGCTTTCAACATCTTTGTTGATTTTCCTGTGAGCTGCAGAGACATTTTAAAGTAGATCATTTTATAGGCATGCAATATTTTAAAAACAGGAATATGGACCACTTGAGCTCTGAATGTACTTGTCCTAACATGGAATGACAATTCTTCAATTTTATAGTTTGTTTTTAGTCTCGTTTAAGTGAAATTTGTATGTTTTCAATGTACACTGCCATATAATGCATGGCCCCCGTGTATAGGAGCTTTATAATGTCAATAGGATTATCCTGATTTAATAAATTACATAAAACATCAAATGTTTCTTAATTGATAAATATCAATAGTATGCTCTAAAAATCATATATACACAAAAAAAGTGTCACGTTAATACTGGTTCTTTGAATAAAACATCTTGGTAGTTATGAGTCAACGTTACTTTTATCACAACATAAAGTCACTGGTTATTGACAACTACTGCAGAAATAGCTAGGTAGCTAATGTTAGCTAGCTCACGTGAAACCATTTTAATTGAAACCATTGTAACTCTAAAGATAACCAAGTAACTAACTAAATGTGTTCCTGTCAGCAGCATATATATATAGCACATCGTTTTCACATTAGCAACTAAGCTAATGAAGCGCGATAGCTAGCCGACTACCGATAGTGGAGAGCATCAAGCTAGCTGTTTCAGCTAGCATTAGCACTAGCTGCTAAACAAAATGTCCGAACCAAAAACACCGTTAAACACGCCAGTGTTTACGATGCTGGCGGTAGTAATACAGACGTGATTGTAGCCGCTTTGTTTAATGAAGTGGGTTTTGTTTTAGACGAGGGTCTGCACATGCATCTTACCAGACTCATCTTGGACATAGGGGGTTGCCATTTTGGTGTAACGTGAACGTGGTGCTCCGCTCTTCCAGTCGGTCGGTGTCCACCAAACGTCCCCTCGCTTACTTTGATCCCACGCGATTTAACACAACTTGTTCAACTCTTGCTTCCTTTGAGGTGAAATATGTCATGGCAGCTTCTACGGGCCTCTATCACAATGTAAACGACGCGCAGGACAGCTGAGGAGGCTCCGAAACAACGAGCACTGAACTGTGTCCGTCTGTGTGTGTGTGTGTGTGTGTGTAATCGGGCGCTAAAAGGAAGTAAAACGTGCGAACCCTTTTTTCTTCAACTTCGGAAATGACGACGTGGATCATGGGTTGCCAGGTTAGTACAAGTCAACGGGTGTTTTTAACACGTAAAGATGTAACTGCTCATTGAAGCGGCCATCGCCCTGGAATGTACTGTACTTAATGTGGCATTTTACTCCTCGTGCTACTTTCCACTTCTATCTACTATATTCCGGAGGAGAATATTGTGCTTCTTAGATTTAGTTACTTTGCAATTAAGCTTTTTGCATACAAAACACAAAGAGCTTGTAAAACATGATGCTTTGTTGTAAATTAAACTACCGAGCAAGTAAACATCGAACAAAAAGTTCGGACATTAGTGTTTGGTAGATTATTTCTCTGTTGTAACAATGCTTCTTAGGAATAAATGTTATACAGTTGGAAAGCCTGTTTATTTACCTTTCAAACGGTGCCCCATTTGTAAGGAACATGCATTTCTGGGATGAGCAGCACAGCTGAGTGTGTGGGTTGTGCCCATGAAAAATTTGCCAAATCTTCTCTGCCAATGCCAAAACAGCGTATTCTGCCATCGACTCTTGTTTGGTGTTGTTTGGTGGATTGGATGATTGAAGTCTATAAGTAACAAGGAAGAAACAAGACATATTGGCAATTTTACAATTTATTCATTTAACAAACAGGAGCCTCAGTAGCGTGTGGAAGAACCATACACAGCCACAACAGCCTGGCACCTCCTCCTCATGCTGGTCACCAGCCTGCTCACACACTGCTGTGGGATGGCATTCCACTCCTCAGGCAGGATTTGTCGCAAGTCAGCCAACGTGGTTGTGTTGGTCACTCTGGCACGAACAGCTGGTCCCACAAGTGTTCACTTGGGTTGAGGTCAGGACTGTTGGCAGGCCATTCCATCCTCTCTACTCCCAAATTCTGGAGGTAGTCTCTGATAAACCCTGCTCTGTGGGGGCGAGCGTTGTCATCTTAGAGACTTAGAGGATGGAGTTCGGTCCCAGACTGGAGAAATGGGATTGCCACTGGTTGCAGAATCTCATCTCGATATCTCTCTGCATTGAGATTGCCTCCAATGAAGACAAGCCTCGTTTTTCCAGTGATGGAGATGCCGCCCCACACCATCACACTGCCTCCACCAAAAGGTGTTACTCTATCGGTGCAGCAATCAGCATAGCGTTCTCCACACTTTGACCCTATACGATCCAACTTCCTTAGGCAGAATCTGGACTCACCGCTGAACATAACGTTCCTCCACATGTTCAGGTTCCAGTGCAGGTGTTGCCGACACCGGCAGAGAAGATTTGGCAAATTTTTCATGGGCGCAACCCACATACTCAGCTGTGCTGCTCATCCCAGAAATGCATGTTCCTTACAAATGGGGCACCGTTTGAAAGGTAAATGAACAGGCTTTCCAACGGTATAAAATTCATTGCCAAGAAGCATTGTTACAACAGAGAAATAATCTACCAAACACTAATTTCCGAACTTTTTGTTCGATGTTTGTATAAAAGTACTGCTGGCACAATTAATCGATTATTCAGCTGACACTATTTTGATACTCGTCATACAAAAACAAACATTGTAGAGGTGTCACTTGGGGCTCTGGGTAATTTTTATGGTTTTTCTCATTATTTTCAGAATTCTTACAAACCAAACAATCAATCAATGAAAATTATCATTTGTTGAAATCCTATATATCCACCCCAGCCAATTACAACAGTAGAATTATGCTTTTACATTAATGCATGAGTAATAATATTCTGATGATATAATATATGGTAGCATTACTTTATATACAAACAAGGAACATTTCTTGCATGGGGTCAACTATTGCACTGGCCCTTAAACGTGAGCTTGCAGCTGCACCTGAGATATAAACTTGTGACCATCATCTTCTGCAACTGTACCATACAAGTCTGATGATGATGATAGTGCTGGAGACTGTGTCTGAGACCTGAGACACAGAAGTAGAAATCTGTAAACCCAGTTTCTCTGTCAGAGACCTTGGTACATGGTTGCTGCTGATCTGTCAAACAACTGGCCACTTTAATGAATATAACTAAAATAGTTGTTTGTCACCAAGTTTTTCATGAGTCATACGAAAAGAGAAAGCCATGTACCCCTTTGTGCAATTAAGTTAGACTGTTGTACTGGAGGGTAATGTCTGCTATCCCAGAGGGGCAATATGTTGCACAGCCAGCAGTAATACCGTCAACACACACACACACACACACACACACACACACAATGGCATACACACTATCTATATATATATATATATATATATATATATATATATATATATATATAT